CATCCTAAGATAATTCTCATGGCTTCATTTTGTACCTTCTCCAACTTGCCCATCCTACCTTTACCAAAACAAGAAATGATAGGTGCAGCGTAATCAATAAGGGATCTTAAAGTACTTAAGTATATCATTCGTAGCACAGGGACTCCCACTCCCTTTCCACAGCATGCCAAGGCCTTCAGAGGTTGTAATCTCATCCGACATTGACCCAACAGTCTGTTCACCTCAGCTTCCAAACTCTCATGGGTATATCCAACATATATGCCTAAATATTTAGATATATTAACTCTTTACATTTTTACCGTTTATTTTCAATATAATGGGCTCCGACTTCTACATTCAAACTTACTGTAGTTTTGTCTTCATTAACCATCAGTCCCATATGGTGACACAGGTTTCCAAAATTATCCAACACCGTTTGAACCTTTGAAATATCTTTGCCCTGAAACAAAATATCATCAGCATATATGATCGGAGATACCCCATTTGACTATCTCTCAGATGCTATCTTATTCATTAGTATATTAAACAAGGTGGGATGCGACACTCCTCCCTGAGATGTGCCAAGTTCCAAAAATCTCACACCTGACATAACCTTGATACCACACCTGAGCCTTCCTTTCGTGAAGATAATCCCCTATCCAGTGCAATAATCTCCCTTTAACACCAAGATCAGCTAGTTCATATAAGATAACCTCTTTGTTAGCTTTATGAAAAGCTCCTTGTAAATCAATACAAATTCTATAATAATCATTATCATTAGCTAGACATTTAATAATACAGTCAGAGGTATTTTTGCCTCTGAGGAACCTGAACAAATTACTAGACAGCTGATCACATATTATATATAAAAGTCTATTTAAAATTCTCCTCTCCATCATTTTACAAAAACACGAGGTTAAGAACACAGGTCTGTGCTCTCCATTGGCTTTAGGGATAGGGATGATCATAGCTTTTTTTCCATTTATTAGGAATACTGCCCTCTTTATAACTAATATTAAAGAGGTCTAACAGTGGGCTTTTTGTCATAATGGCAAGTTCATTAAGTATTTCATAAGTTACTCCATCCTCCCCAGGGGCGGTAGATTTCCCAACTTTAATCGCCGTTATTAGTTCTTCTCTGGTATTACCTGTGCAAGTGACATCACCACTGTTACCTGCTGTAAGTATAAAATCCTTTCTTAGATCTTTCCAACAATCTAATGACTCTCTCGTTATAGCGGGTAATGAATTAAGTTTGGCAGCTTCCGCCCATTTATTTATGAGACCATTTGCAATTCCGTGCGGGTCAGGATGTGCAACAAAATTATGCTTTTTACCCTTACTTTATTTATGTCTTGCCAGATTTCCTTCAAGTTTCTGTTACTCCCAACTTTCTCTACAAACTCTTGCTAATAGTTGCTCCTAATTTCCTTTCTCTTCTCCCCACACAGCCTAGCAACTGCCAGTAAAGCATTCTTCCCTTCCTCAGTCCTACCAATCCTAACCTATAGCTATATTGATATTACAGTTTTATAAAACTAATAAAACAAAACTAAAGTCTTTCAATAAATTATAAAGTAACTCAGGATATTTTCAAATTTTGTATAAAGTCTATATTGTTTAATAAAACTGAAAAAGAAGTTCTTTATATTGAAAACTTGTGTATATAGAAGAGAACACAAAAACGTCAACCTAAAAATATTGAGTGTATTAACAGAAAATGAGGAGAATATATGGGGAGGTAAATGTAACAGCACAATTAAGTGTATTTATGTACTATGCAGACAGTCAGGAATGTACTTATTACATTTAGTATTAAAATGTACTGTCTATTCGGAGGAAGGGTTGAATATTATTCAATAATGTGTAGTGTGATATATTTATATAATAAAATGTGTGAATCATTGCTGTACTCAAAATTATGGTGTGCATATTAGTGATTCAATTATTATGTTCATAAAATAATAAACAAATACTTTGCTGTTATTACACTCTATACAGTACACAGGTTATATATAAGTATCTACATGTTTTGTTCACCATAACTGTACAGCTAAGCTGGTATGGTGCCCAAAGAGCATAATGGCCACACTACACAGCATGACAAGTCATGCAGATGATGCCACCTCCCTCATCAAAATGGCTTCTCCCAAACATACTCCTTTCGCTATTATTACACTATACAGTGGAACCTCAAATAATGACTTTAATCCGTTCTGGCGCCGTGATCGTCATGTGAAACGGACGTCATACAAAACGAATTTCCCCATTGACAATAATGGAAATCAAATTAATCCGTTCTACCACCGAAAAACATCAATATGACATTCGATGTTTTAAATAATGGAACAGCCTACCTTACATACACTGCACCTTACATTACAGGGCACTGGTGACTGTGTAGGGCGCCGGTGGCTGTGTGGATAACACGCTGGACACATGATCCTGTGGCCCGGGTTCGATTCCCGGCGCCGGCGAGAAACGATGGGCAGAGTTTCTTTCACCCTAATGCTCCTGTTACCTACCAGTAAATAAGTACCTGGGAGTTAGTCAGCTGTCACGGGCTGCTTCTTGAGGGTGTGTGGTGTGTGTGTGGGAAAAAAAATAGTAGTAACAATTGATTGACAGTTGAGAGGCGGGCCGAAAGAGCAGTGCTCAACTTCCACAAACACAACTAGGTGAATACACTGGACAAACCTTTATAACATTTTTCTTTCTTCAAATTTGTTCAATTTTTTTTCATTTGTTTTATAGCAAAAGGTTCATTCGGTGTTCGGCAGGTAGGCTCCTCCATATTTCTTAAATAAAAAAAGTGAAAATAAAAATAAATATGAAACATTTTGAAAAAAACAGAACAAATGTCAAAAAGGTTCGTTCGGTGTTTGGCAGGTAGGCTGCTCCATGTTTCTTAAATTAAAAAAAAAATAAACGAAAAGAAAAATAAAAAAACCAGCATTGAATATAATGAAATGTCATTTTCTGGGTGAGCCCCGGAGGCTCCCTGGAGCTTATCGGGCTAATGTATGTTATATTAGACCGGGACATTAGCTAAGGAGTTCAGATCTACCAGGGACCAGCGCCAGAACCTGGCCCCTTCAGAGAGGTTTCAGGGAGCAATGGCACTGGAAAACCCTCTTGTGGTTGGGGTTTTCCTTATCTGCCATCGACCGGGGTCAGGCACCCAGGAAGGTAGGCATGACAAAACAAACCCCACATGGTAAAAAAATAAAACAAAAAAACGAACAGAGATGTAGAAACTCCCTACAATCCCAAGGAAACAAGCAAACAAGCAAACATAACACTTTACTGCCGCGCCGATCATCCGCGCTGCCTTCCTCGCCCCGAGAGGGGGATGGGGGAGCCCTGAACCTTACCGCGCCAGTTGCCTAGCAACTGGCGTTTGGCAACTGGCGTTTGGCCGTTTCCCTGGGGGTTCTCTTTTGAGGCTGTGCTTTGCCTTTCTGTGGTGTAATTCCGCCGGCAAATGTGGTGGTTTGGGCTCCCCCAGGTTCGATTCCGGGTTCTTTTGGGTTCTTTGGTTTCGTTCCGGAGGTCTCTTCCTCTTGGGCCCCCATTGAGGGTTCAGGGGGGCTTAGGTTACCTCGTTTGTGACCCGGTTCTGCCTTCTGGGGTTCTTGGGTCTTCCTGGCTTGCAGGCTGATCTTTTTGGGTCTTGGCACGTATTATGGTCGTGCCGGGGCTTTGGGTTTTGTTGTCGAGGTGGGACTTTTGATGTAGTTTTGTGCTTTCTTTGTGCCTTCTTCGCCTGGCCCGGCGTGGTGCTCTCTGCCCACTTGTCAGCAGCTTGTATTTTTCTTTTCACGTGTATGTGTGTACACATATGTACATGTACATGTGTACACTTATGTGTGTGTGTGTGTGTGTGTGCACATGTGTGTAATACACGTTGTGTGTGTGTATTTATATATATACTAGCTGTACCCGGCCACACGTTGTCGGGTCAGCAATCTTCGCCTGTCTCCCAGTCCTCCCCACCATTCCCCCTGCCCTATCCCCTCATCCTCCCAACACCCACCCATTACCTCTTCCTCCCAACAATTCCCCACTTCCCCATCCCTTCGTCCTCCCCACTATTCCTCCCCTCCGCCATCTCTTTGTCCTCCCCATCATCCCCCACTCTAGCATCTGCTCGTCCTCCTAACCATTCCTCACTCCACCGTCCCCTCCTCCTCCTCTCCATCTCCAACTTCCCCATCCCCTCGTCCTCCCTACCATTTCTCCCGCCCACGTCCCCTCGTCCTTTCCACCAACCACCACTTCTCTGTCCCCTTGTCCTCCCCACCATTCTCCATTCCCCGATCTCCTCGTCTCCACCATCCCCAACTGCCCCATCCCCTCGTCCTCCCCACTATTACCCCCTCTGCTGTCCTCTCGTCCTCCCCACCATTCCCTACTCCATCGTTCGATGCATTCCCAAACAATCTCATATTCCCATCAGAAAATTGGGAACATCAAATGATCTGATGTTCCCACCACTGAAATATAAGAAAAACTTAAAAAAACGAAAGGAAAAAAATAAAAAAATAAACTATACTCAGGAAATGAACGGTATGGTAAACAATACTGCTCAATTCCAATGCAATGTCACACAAAATAATTAAATCAAAATGAAAATCAATTGAAATCTATGAAAATTCGATTTGTTAATGCAATCAGAAACATTGAAATGTAATCGTAACAAATTTAGTATAGTGTGTGTTGCTCTTATGTGCAACAGATGGCATTGCTTCTTAAAAAATGAATGATTTTACCTGTCACAGGTGTGGCATCTATACTTATACTTACGAAATGAACCGTATGGTAAACAACACAGCTCAATTTCAATGCAATGTCACACAATATAATTAAATCAAAATGAAAATAAATTGAAATTTATGAAAATTCAATTTATCAGTGCAATTGGAAACACTAAAATGGAATTGTAACATATTTAGTATAGCGTGAGTTGCTATTATGTGGAACAGATGGCGCTGTTTAAAAAAAAAAAACATGTTTTTTACCTGTCACAGATGTGGCATCTATATAGTTGGTATATAACAAAAATGCGTGTATTCGAATGGAACTTTGTGTCAGAATTTCAAAGCAATCGATGAAGAACTTTCGGAGATTACAGCATCTGTTGCTCTCACGTCCATCAGATGGTACTGTTTAAAAAAAAAAAAAAACATGTTATTTTCCTGTCACAGGTGGGGCATGCATATAATAGGTACATAAAAACATGTGCCTATTCGAATGCAACGTTGGTGGTGTCAAAATTTCAAAGCAATCGGTAAAGAGGTTTCGAAGATTTCCCTCCCATGAAAAACACACAAAAAACACAGTTTTTCAAAAAAAGCATGTTTTTTCCCATCACAGACGTGACATCTATATAATATGTATATATAAACCAGCTCGGATGTGAATGGAACGTTGTTTGAAAATTTCAAAGCAATCTGTGAAGAACTTTCGGAGATGAGCGATTTTGATCAAACGAACATTTCCATTTTTATTTATATAGATATATATACTTTTTCTTTTGGAAGGGGCTCCGTTCCCTTCGCTGTTGATGGGGCGCTGTGGGAGCAGCTTGCTCTGTTGACTCTCTCTTGGTCCCGCAGTTAGTGGGAGTTTTTGGTTGTCTTCTGGCCTCTGGTGGCGGCGGACAGCTTCTCCCCTTTTGGGGGGATTCGGGGCTGGCGAGTTGGGCTTCTTCCCCTGCGCTTCGTCATGTCATCTTAGTGGGTGCGTTGGACGTGGTCGATCCGCCCCATCCTTCCGGGGTTCCAGTCTGCTCTATGCAGACACAGGCTTGGCAGATCTGCGGTTCTTTTGGACTAGTTCAGTCTGCGCCCTGGATTCTTTGCCCTCATCGGAGGACTGTTATCTCCAGTCCGGCTTCTGTTGGGGCTGGGTGCCTGGATGGTGGCCCTGGACCTCCAGGTCACTCACTTCTTGGCACGTTCCTCTCCAGGTTTCCAGGACTGGCACAGTTGGTGGTGGGGCTTCAGGCTTGCCGCTTTTGTTGCCTTCCCTAGTTTATAATTGGCTCTTGGTGTATTTACGCATCATTACCGGATCTTGGTGCCATGTCAGAGTCTGCTTGGGATTCGGTGTCTAGCCTACCTCGATGACTGACTGATGTGAGCTCCCAGTCGGTCCACATGTCTGCTCGCCAGGGGTGTGGTTCTTTCCAGATTGCCGGGTTCGGTTTCCTGGTGATCTGGAGGCCGTTTCATCTGTTTCCGTCCTGGGTTCAGACCAGGCTGGAGTCTTGTTTAGGGCTCTGGGGCTGCTCCTTATCTTTCCCTCCAGAAGCGATGCTGCGACTGTGGTCCCACCTTTGGCTGTTTATGAGGGGGGTCCTGGGTTGCTCGGTGGTTGTTCGAGCGGTTGTGCAGGAGTCTGAACTTCGACGTGCTGGTCTACCCGCATGGGTTAAGTTTGGCTTCGGCGTCTGTTTGGTTCCTTCGGAGACTCCCTTTCCGCCTCTCTTGCAATCGTTGGGTTTGTCCCCTGGGATCTTGTGTTGGTGCTGTGTCACCAGCTTCCTCTTTGGGGTTTTTGGGGTTCTGTGCCTTGGCACCTCCCCGAGCCTTTGCTTGACGCGTTCACGGACGGGTCATCTCTCGGCTGGGGCTTTGTGACCAGTGCTCACCAGGTCGGCTGGGGATGGTAGGGGTCTGTCCGTCTGTCGGGATCACAGCACGGTTCGGGAGTTTGTGGCTGTCTGGTTTGCACTTCGTAGAGTTCATGTTAATCTGCTCTAATATCCAGCTCCATTCAGACTGTTCTCTGGTGGTTCTTTGCCGGAACCACGGGGTTTCTCTTAGGTGTTTGACCTTTGGGGTTGGTCCCTTTGAGTGGCTCATTTGCTGGATTCTCGGGGTTTGGCTAGCCATGAGGTTCATGTCCGGGGTGTGTCCTGCGTCCTGGCGGACAGCCTGTCTCGGTTCATTCCTCTGTTCGCGGATTGGCCGCAAAGCACCATATGCTTTTCTCGTTAATCAAGTGGAAGCTTGTCAGTCGAGAAAAATTTATGCCAAGTGGCATGCTTGTTATTCTAAATGCTCGTAGATTGAGGCGCTCGTCACCCGAGGGTTCATTGTATGTGCAGAGTGCTTAAATCGAAAGGTGTCCCTTGCTGTCGAGACTGGTCCAGTCGAAACAATCGACTTGAGAATGGACGGACCGAAACGTCATCGTCCCCTTTACTTTCAAGTGTCCTTCAATAACCTAAGTGTAGTTAAAGGATGAGAGCTACGCTCGTGGTGTCCCGTCTTCCCAGCACTCTTTGTCATATAATGCTTTGAAACTACTGACGGTCATGGCCTCCACCACCTTCTCACCTAACTTGTTCCAACCGTCTACCACTCTGTTTACGAAAGTGAATTTTCTTATATTTCTTCGGCATCTGTGTTTAGCTAGTTTAAATCTACGACCTCTTGTTCTTGAAGTTCCAGGTCTCAGGAAATCTTCCCGATCGATTTTATCAATTCCTGATACTATTTTGTACATAGTGATCATATCACCTCTTTTTCTTCTGTCTTTAAGTTTTGGCATATTTAATGTCTCTAACCTCTCCTCGTAGCTCTTGCCCTTCAGTTCTGGGAGCCCCTTAGTAGCATGCCTTTGCACCTTTTCCAGTTGGTTGATGGGCTTCTTAAGATATGGTCACCACACAACAGCTGCATATTCTACCTTTGGCCTAACAAAAGTCATGAACAATTTCTTTAGTATATCACCATCCATGAATTTAAAAGCAATTCTGAAGTTAGAAAGTGTGGCATAGGCTCCTCGCACAATATTCTTTATGTGGTCCTCAGGTGATAGTTTTCTATCTAGAACCACCCTTAGATCTCTTTCTTTATCAGAATTCTTTAAAGATTTCTTTCACATAATATATAGGTTGTGTGGGGTCTATTTTCTCCTATTCCACATTCCATAACATGGCATTTATTAACATTAAATTCCATTTGCCAAGTGGTGCTCCATATACTTATTTTGTACAGGTCATCTTGAAGGGCATGAAAATCATCTAAATTTCTTATCCTTCCTATTATCTTAGCATCATCAGCAAACATGTTCATATAATTCTGTATACCAACTGGTAGATCATTTATGTAGATAATAAACATCACTGGTGCAAGAACTGAACCCTGTGGTACTCCACTTGTGACATTTCTCCAGTCCGATACATTGCCTCTGATTACTGCCCTCATTTTTCTATCAGTCAGAAAATTTTTCATCCATGTTAGAAGCTTACCTGTCACCCCTCCAATATTTTCCAGTTTCCAGAACAACCTCTTATGTGGAACTCTGTCAAAAGCCTTTTTTAGGTCCAGATAGATGCAATCAACCCAACCATCTCTTTCCTGTAGTATCTCTTTGGCTCGATCAAAGAAACTGAGTAAATTCGACACACAGGATCTTCCAGATCGAAAACCATACTGTCTGTCTGATATTATATAATTTCTCTCCAGGTGTTCTACCCATTTAGTTTTTATTAGTTTTTCCAATACTTTCACTATTACACTTGTCAATGATACAGGTCTATAATTGCAGCCCGTCCTCCAAAAATGGGGTGGTAAATGTAAGGAGACAAATAAGTGCAATTATGTACTATTCATAGCAGTTAGAAATTGTACTTATTTTCACTTAGTATTAAATCGTACTGTCAAATATATTGTGAATATTTCAACCCATCCTCCGAATTGACAGTACGATTTAATACTAAGTGTAATAAGTACACTTTCGTACTGTCATAACCAGTGCATAATTGCACTTATGGGGCTGTTACATTTACCCAACTCCCTCCCCCGATTTAATTCTCCTCGTTTTCTGTTAAGACACTCAGAATTTTAGGATGCAGTTTTCAATTTCAAATAGCAATACACAAGTTTTAAATATCAAGAATTTCTTTTTCAGGTTTATTAAACAATATAGATTTTATACAAAATTTTAAAATATCCTGAGTTTCTTTACAATTTATTGATATATTTTAGTTTTGTTTTATTAGTTTTATAAAACTGTAATAACAATATAGCTATAGGTTAAGTACTAATTGTAATTAAGAAGCAATAAAATTATTATCTTCAAAAACTAAGACGGTTAGGTGAGGTTGTGGTTTTCTATTCAGTTTTTAAGGTAAACTCAAATATTCACAATATATTTGACAGTACGATTTAATACTAAGTGAAAATAAGTACAATTTCTAACTGCTATGAATAGTACATAATTGCACTTATTTGTCTCCTTACATTTACCACCCCATTTTTGGAGGACGGGCTGGAATATTTGAGTTTACCTGAACAACTGAATAGAAAACCACAACCTCACCTAACCGTCTTAGTTTTTGAAGATAATAATTTTATTGCTTCTTAATTACAATTAGTACTTAACCTATAGCTATACTGATATTACAGTTTTATAAAACTAATAAAACAAAACTAAAATATATCAATAAATTGTAAAGTAACTAAGGATATTTTAAAATTTTGTATAAAATCTATATTGTTTAATAAACCTGAAAAAGAAATTCCTGATATTTAAAACTTGTGTATTGCTAGTTGAAATTGAAAACGTCATCCTAAAATTTTGAGTGTGTTAACAGAAAACGAGGAGAATTAAATCGGGGGAGGGCGTTGGGTAAATGTAACAGCCCCATAAGTACAATTATGCACTGGTTATGACAGTACGAAAGTGTACTTAGTACACTTAGTATTAAATCGTACTGTCAATTCGGAGGATGGGTTGATAATTGAGTCTTCCCTGCTGCCACTTTTGTAGATTGGAACTATGTTAGCCTGTTTCCACACGTCTGCTATGTGTGTGTGGTTTGGTCAACGTCCTTGCTGTTGTTTAGTCATAAACCCATACCTTTTGAAGTTATAAATTTTTTGTGTCTAAATTTTGCACATATATGGAAGGCCCTATTGAATAATTTTTTTACAGTAAACTACTGTATATTCTCAAACAAGATTTTTCAGCAAGGAACATGAATGTTATATGCTATTCTGAGACCATAATGAATAAAATAGAAATTGGTGACATTTTAATATTTTTAAACCTAATTTGAAATTGTGAAATTAAATTTTTTTATTTCTATTTTTTCTGTTCATGGCATGATGTTGGTCCATTTAGGAAAAGTTGGAGCATTAACCTTGAAGATATT